ACGTTACTGCTTATTACACACCTACGTTACTGCGTATTACACACCTACGTTACTGCGTATTACACACCTGCGTTACTGCTTATTACACACTACGTTACTGCGTATTACACACCTACTGCGTATTACACACCTGCGTTACTGCTTATTACACACCTGCGTTACTGGCTTAACACACCTACGTTACTGCGTATTAACACCTACGTTACTGCGTATTACACCTACGTACTGCGTATTACACACCTACGTTACTGCGTATTACACACCTACGTTATGCGTATTAACACCTGCGTATTACACACCTACGTTACTGCGTATTACACACCTGCGTATTACACACCTACGTTACTGCGTATTACACCTACGTTACTGCGTATTACACACCTACGTTACTGCGTATTACACACCTACGTTACTGCTTATTACACACCTACGTTACTGCTTATTACACACCTACGTTACTGCGTTTTACACCTGCGTTACAGCTTATTACACACTTACTGCGTATTACACACCTACGTACTGCGTTTTACACACCTACGTTACTGCTTATTACACCTACGTTACTGCGTTTTACACCTACGTTACTGCTTATTAACACCTACGTTACTGCTTATTACACACCTGCGTTACTGCGTATTACACACCTGCGTTACTGCTTATTACACACGTTACTGCGTATTACACACCTGCGTTACTGGTATTACACACCTAGTTACTGCGTTTTACACACCTGCGTATTACACACCTACGTTACTGCTTATTACATACGCTACTGCGTATTACCACCTACGTTACTGCTTATTACACACCTGCGTATTACACCTACGCTATTGCGTATTACACCTACGCTACTGCTTATTACACACCTGCTTATTACACACCTACGTTACTGCGTATTACACACCTACGCTATTGCGTATTACACCCTACGCTACTGCTTATTACACACCTGCTTATTAACACCTACGTTACTGCGTATTACCACGTTACTGCGTATTACACACCTACGTTACTGCTTATTACACACCTACGTTACTGCGTATTACACCTACGTTACTGCTTATTACACACCTACGTTACTGCTTATTACACACACGTTACTGCTTATTACACACCTACGTTACTGCTTATTACACACACGTTACTGCTTATTACACACCTACGTTACTGCGTATTACACACACGTTACTGCGTATTACACACCTACGTTACTGCGTATTACACACCTACGTTACTGCTTATTACACACCTGCTTATTACACCTACGTTACTGCTTATTACACACCTGCGTATTACACACCTGCGTTACTGCTTATTACACACCTGCGTATTACACTACGTTACTGCTTATTACACACCTGCGTATTACACCTACGTTACTGCTTATTACCACACTGCGTATTACACACCTGCGTATTACACCCTGCGTATTACACACCTGCGTATTACACCTAGCTACTGCTTATTACACACCTGCGTATTACACCTGGTATTACACACCTGCGTATTACACCTACGTTACTGCGTATTACACACCTGCGTATTACACACCTGCGTATTACACCTACGTTACTGCTTATTACACACCTGCGTATTACACACCTGCGTATTACACCTACGCTACTGCTTATTACACACCTGCGTATTACACACCTGCGTATCACACCTCTACGTTACTGCGTATCACACCTACGTTACTGCTTATTACACCTACGTTACTGCTTATTACACACCTGCTTATTACACACCTGCTTATTACACACCTACGTTACTGCGTTTTACACACCTGCGTTACAGCTTATTACACACCTACGTTACTGCTTATTACACACACGTTACTGCTTATTACACACACGTTACAGCTTATTACACACCTACGTTACAGCTTATTACACACCTACGTTACTGCGTTTTACACACCTGCGTATTACACACCTACGTTACTGCGTTTTACACACCTGCGTATTACACACCTGCGTTACTGCGTATTACACACCTACGTTACTGCGTATTACACACCTACGTTACTGCGTTTTACACACCTACGTTACTGCGTATTACACACCTGCGTATTACACACCTACGTTACTGCGTATTACACACCTACGTTACTGCGTATTACACACCTACGTTACTGCTTATTACACACCTGCGTATTACACCTACGCTACTGCGTATTACACCTACGTTACTGCTTATTACACCTACGTTACTGCTTATTACACACCTGCGTATTACACACCTACGTTACTGCTTATTACACCTACGCTACTGCGTATTACACACCTACGTTACTGCTTATTACACACCTGCGTATTACACCTACGCTATTGCGTATTACACCTACGCTATTGCGTATTACACCTACGCTACTGCTTATTACACACCTGCTTATTACACACCTACGTTACTGCGTATTACACACCTACGCTATTGCGTATTACACCTACGCTACTGCTTATTACACACCTGCTTATTACACACCTACGTTACTGCGTATTACACACACGTTACTGCGTATTACACACCTACGTTACTGCTTATTACACACCTACGTTACTGCTTATTACACACCTACGTTACTGCTTATTACACACCTACGTTACTGCTTATTACACACACGTTACTGCTTATTACACACCTACGTTACTGCTTATTACACACCTACGTTACTGCGTATTACACACACGTTACTGCGTATTACACACCTACGTTACTGCGTATTACACACCTACGTTACTGCTTATTACACACCTGCTTATTACACCTACGTTACTGCTTATTACACACCTGCGTATTACACACCTGCGTTACTGCTTATTACACACCTGCGTATTACACCTACGTTACTGCTTATTACACACCTGCGTATTACACCTACGTTACTGCGTATTACACACCTGCGTATTACACACCTGCGTATTACACACCTGCGTATTACACCTACGCTACTGCTTATTACACACCTGCGTATTACACACCTGCGTATTACACACCTGCGTATTACACCTACGTTACTGCGTATTACACACCTGCGTATTACACACCTGCGTATTACACCTACGTTACTGCTTATTACACACCTGCGTATTACACACCTGCGTATTACACCTACGCTACTGCTTATTACACACCTGCGTATTACACACCTGCGTATCACACCTCTACGTTACTGCGTATCACACCTACGTTACTGCTTATTACACCTACGTTACTGCTTATTACACCTACGTTACTGCTTATCACACCTACGCTACTGCTTATCACACCTACGTTACTGCTTATCACACCTACGTTACTGCTTATCACACCTCTACGTTACTGCTTATCACACCTCTACGTTACTGCTTATCACACCTACGTTACTGCTTATCACACCTCTACGTTACTGCTTATTACACCTACGTTACTGCTTATTACACCTACGTTACAGCTTATCACACCTACGTTACTGCTTATCACACCTACGTTACTGCTTATCACACCTACGCTACTGCTTATCACACCTACGTTACTGCTTATCACACCTACGTTACTGCGTATCACACCTACGTTACTGCGTATCACACCTACGTTACTGCGTATCACACCTACGTTACTGCGTATCACACCTACGTTACTGCGTATCACACCTACGTTACTGCGTATTACACACCTACGTTACTGCGTATTACACACCTACGTTACTGCGTATTACACACCTACGTTACTGCGTATTACACACCTACGTTACTGCGTATTACACACCTGCGTATTACACATCTGCGTATTACACACACGTTACTGCGTATTACACACCTACGTTACTGCGTATTACACACCTACGTTACTGCGTATTACACACCTACGTTACTGCGTATTACACACCTACGTTACTGCTTATTACACACCTACGTTACTGCGTATTACACACCTACGTTACTGCGTATTACACACACGTTACTGCGTATTACACACCTACGTTACTGCGTATTACACACACGTTACTGCGTATTACACACCTGCGTTACTGCGTATTACACACCTGCGTTACTGCGTATTACACACACGTTACTGCGTATTACACACCTACGTTACTGCGTATTACACACCTGCGTTACTGCGTTTTACACACCTGCGTTACTGCGTATTACACACCTGCGTTACTGCGTATTACACACACGTTACTGCGTATTACACACCTACGTTACTGCGTATTACACACACGTTACTGCGTATTACACACCTACGTTACTGCGTTTTACACACCTGCGTTACTGCGTTTTACACACCTGCGTTACTGCTTATTACACACCTACGTTACTGCTTATTACACACCTACGTTACTGCTTATTACACACCTACGTATTACACATCTGCGTATTACACACACGTTACTGCGTATTACACACCTACGTTACTGCGTATTACACACCTGCGTTACTGCTTATTACACACCTGCGTATTACACATCTGCGTATTACACACACGTTACTGCGTATTACACACCTACGTTACTGCGTATTACACACCTGCGTTACTGCGTATTACACACCTGCGTATTACACATCTGCGTATTACACACACGTTACTGCGTATTACACACCTACGTTACTGCGTATTACACACCTGCGTTACTGCGTATTACACACCTGCGTATTACACATCTGCGTATTACACACACGTTACTGCGTATTACACACCTACGTTACTGCGTATTACACACCTGCGTTACTGCGTATTACACACCTGCGTATTACACCTACGTTACTGCGTTTTACACACCTGCGTTACTGCGTTTTACACACCTGTGTTACTGCGTATCACACCTACGTTACAGCGTATTACACCTACGTTACTGCGTATCACACCTACGTTACTGCTTATTACACCTACGTTACAGCGTATTACACCTACGTTACTGCTTATTACACACCTGCTTATTACACCTACGTTACTGTGTATTAATACACGTTACTCGTGTGTGTGTAATAAGACTGAAACAGCTTGTCTCTCTGCAGGTCCAGATGTTCTGATCCAGAAATGCTGTAACCTGCAGAGGAGGGTCAGAGAGAAAGCGCTGGTCCAGGCCTTCACTGCAGTACTAATCATACTACTAGGTAGTAATACTTTAACTACTACTGCTGCTGCTGTGTTCCCCTGTACGTGTACTGATGTAGCTGATCCAGGATCTCTGATCTGCAGGTAACGGTAAAGTGATGGTGGAGGTGAAACAGACCTCAGAGCAGCTTCCACCTGAGGAGACTGCAGGAGTCCTCCAGGTAAACTCACCTGCTCAGTACCGTGTTCGTGTACTCGCACAGTACTGCAGTATATTTCTGATCACTGGCTAATTGTTCTGATCTCTGGCTCTCAGGTGAATGAGCTTGCTCCTGATGAAGAGGAGGATGAAGAGTGGGATCTGACCGTATCATAGACACCAGAGGACTGCGGGCAGAGCAGTGGTGCATGCTGGGAACAGATTCATGTTTAATTTATTCAATAAACGAGGTTGATCAGTGACCTGTTTCCTGCTGAGCTGAAGGTGAAGCTGCATTCTGATTGGCTGGTTCTGGTCAGATCAAAACACGAGAGCCAGTGATGCTGAAGCCGTTTATTTATCAGAGTAACAAGCAGAACATGTACTAGTACTTTAACTAGTACTTTTAGTATCACTAAAGTCTGAACTCAGTGACGCAGTGAGAGACAGGAAGTGGAGCAAACAGGATCCTCAGAGCTGCTGTGATGTGGATCATTGTAGTCCAGGTTCTGAAGCAGGGTCCGAAGATCCTTCTCATCGGCCGAAATCCTGCACCATCTTCTTCCTCACATCTGGGGTTAAGGTCAGGTCCCCCCCGACCACCATGAAGCCCTGCACACACAACACGGGTCAGGCAGTACCGGCTTAGTAACACCGTAGCTACAGGCAGTACCGGCTTGGTAACGCCATAGCTACAGGCAGTACCAGCGTAGTATCGGCGTAGCTACAGGCAGTACCGGCGTAGTAACGGCGTAGTACCGGCGTAGTACCGGCGTAGTAACGGCGTAGCTACAGGCAGTACCAGCGTAGTATCGGCGTAGCTACAGGCAGTACCGGCGTAGTACCGGCGTAGTAACGGCGTAGTACCGGCGTAGTAACGGCGTAGCTACAGGCAGTACCGGCGTAGTAACGGCGTAGCTACAGGCAGTACCGGCTTAGTAACGGCGTAGCTACAGGCAGTACCGGCGTAGTAACGGCGTAGCTACAGGCAGTACCGGCTTAGTAACACCGTAGCTACAGGCAGTACCGGCTTGGTAACGCCATAGCTACAGGCAGTACCAGCGTAGTATCGGCGTAGCTACAGGCAGTACCAGCGTAGTAACGCCGTAGCTACAGGCAGTATCGGCGTAGCTACAGGCAGTACCAGCGTAGTATCGGCGTAGCTACAGGCAGTACCGGCGTAGTAACGGCGTAGCTACAGGCAGTACCGGCGTATTACCGGCGTAGTAACGGCGTAGTAACGGCGTAGCTACAGGCAGTACCGGCGTAGTAACGGCGTAGCTACAGGCAGTACCGGCGTAGTAACGGCGTAGCTACAGGCAGTACCGGCTTAGTAACACCGTAGCTACAGGCAGTACCGGCTTGGTAACGCCATAGCTACAGGCAGTACCAGCGTAGTATCGGCGTAGCTACAGGCAGTACCAGCGTAGTAACGCCGTAGCTACAGGCAGTATCGGCGTAGCTACAGGCAGTACCGGCGTAGTAACGGCGTAGCTACAGGCAGTACCAGCGTAGTAACGGCGTAGTACCGGCGTAGTACCGGCGTAGTAACGGCGTAGTAACGGCGTAGCTACAGGCAGTACCGGCGTAGTAACGGCGTAGCTACAGGCAGTACCGGCCTAGTAACGGCGTAGCTACAGGCAGTACCGGCGTAGTAACGGCGTAGCTACAGGCAGTACCGGCTTAGTAACGGCGTAGCTACAGGCAGTACCGGCGTAGTAACGGCGTAGCTACAGGCAGTACCAGTGTAGTTACGGGCACCATTGGTGTAGTACCAATAGTATTAATGTAGTAACACGTAGTATCAGCTGTATCTATGTAGTCACGGGCACCATTTGTGTAGTTTGATTGTTGGTTTCATACTGGGACCTGATTGGTTCAAAGTAGCTCTGATGTCATATCCTGCATTGTGCACAGATCTGATTGGCTGGCAGGGAGTGATTGAGCCTGTTTTGGGTCAGTATCAGGGGGATGGATACCGCCGTTCATTAGGGTCTGAACGACGGCATTCTCAGCGGGATTAAAGGTTATTTAAATAACAGCAGCTCATTACAGACATTTTCACAGAGCAGGTCCAGACGACAACATTAACACAGAGAGCGTTTGATCCTGGCAAGAGATGAAAGGACAGCAGTGTAGGTGTCGTCTCAGATCTCCTCCCTCGTTGGTAAAAATGGCTCCTCTTTCAAACCATCTGTCTGGAAGTTAAATCCTGAGACTGCCTGCCAGCCAGCTGTTATTTGATCATTTTATATGACAGCATTCACTATTGTAGAACACGATTTAAGGTATCTTGTAAGTTTAGTATACTAAAGTACACATTAGAGTAGTATAGTTGAGTGGACTTCAGTAGTATTTGGTTGAACATTAATATTCGGTCTAGCTCATATATCGATATACTGAAACATTCTGACGAGAATCATTAACCGTTTGTTTCCGGTGTAAACATGACGTCAGGTCTGTTATTGATACAGACAGATCAGAGTCACGGGATACTGTAACAGTATCGGAGTATTTCATGTGATGCAGTAGAGTGTATTTTTCTGTGTACTCACATCCTGGTAGTCGATCTGTCCCTGAGTGAAGCCCATTCCTTCAGGCAGAGGGATCAGTACTCCTTTATCAAAGCAGTCTGCACACACACAGAGATCACCAGTTTAAAGGGAATCTGGCAGCTTTAAGTGAATTTAAATTTAGGACTTCAGTAAGTGGCACACGGAGCTTCGCCCATTTTTGCCGTTTGTTTCCTAGCAACAGATTCACTGAAGTCTTTTTACGTTTCTGAAGTTTTAAAGGTCTGATTGAATGAATCAGTGGTTCAGACTCAGGAAGGACTTTATCAGCTGTAACAGTAACTCTGTTGTAATCTCAAACACTGCAGGTTGTTCACCAGTGAGGAGCGGTGAAACAACAGCAGTTCTCTGGTGGACCGGATCAGCTGTTAGCTGTAAACACACCACAGGGCTAACGCTAACGCTGCTATGCGGCTGTGTTTTAACGTTTTAATGACCGGGTTTGTTTTGGAGAGGAGATGACCTCTGAGGTAATTCGGCTCCCGGTAGAACCCTGTCAGGGTTCTGAAGTGGACCCAGAACAACTCTCATCAGCTGTTGGCTGTAAACGCTAGCAGGACTGAAGTTACGGTGCGGCTGTGTTCAAACTGTAACTTAGCACGACATCACTGCCCTGTAATCACATTATGCTTCATTAAATGTCACAGAATTAACAAAATAGATATATAATGTCAGTCCCGGCGCTGGCAGTTACTCAGCCTGCCGAGTGAAGACAGACTCCGAGGAGGACCCCTGTGAGCGCTGAACGATTAGTTCATTCCCGCTCCACAGTAGCCGAGCTGTCACGTGACAAATGAACGACTCAAACCCAGAGACCCACAGTTATGAGTCCTGAACTAATCAATTCTGTTTCCTGTGCTGACGGAGACCTTGCAGCTGCCGTGTGACGAGTGAACGTAAGAGTCCAAGATCCTTCACGCATGCGTGAAAATGAACGAATTACTCACCGAGACGACCCGTTCCTCCTGAGTCACATACAAGATCAGGTCAAACGAACCAAACGTTCTTTGAACGATACAACACTAACACAGAGCAGCGGATACCAGTCACCTCCATCCTGATTGACAGATCGCCATGGTAGCGACTTGTCGATCAGCTTGTAGCCCCGCCCTAAAGCCTCCCCTGCTTCCTGGTCTCTGTTCCTCTAAATGGGACCATAATTTACTAAATGAACATCATGCTGTGTTGAAGAAGACTTGAAACTAGCGACTGAGACCAGAAACTCATCAGGAAAGTGTTTACTGAGGGAATAAATCAGCTGACAAGTAGAAACATTTTCTCACAGACTTCTATACAATCACACTTCTTTCTGCAGCCGCTGGAGTCGCCCCCTGCTGGCTGCTGGAGAGAACGCAGCTTTAAGGGATTTCTGTACTGGCTTCACAACCATCGTGCCATGAAGTCGACTTTTATGAAGCCCGTTATGATCAGTTTCTCAAAATGTCATTGGTGGCTTGAAGTTAAGGTGACTCGGGTGTTTATTCAGACAGACAGCGACATGTTAGATCATGAAGAGGTTCATGTCCGACAGTGCTCACCACGCAGGAAGTCCCTGAGCTTTGTCGACATCAGTCCATTCAAAGGTTTCACCTGCACACAAACACAGAACACAACGCCATCATTATTAATGTAGATGGATGGAAGTGTGTGGGGGGGGGGACTGGTTCTTACCAGAGCGTCTCTGATCGAATTTTTGGTGATGATTCTACAGCTGAAAGATAAAAACAAGCGTGGATTATAATGGTATTCTCTATGCTGTACATATGGCTGTGTGTTATATCCCGGTGGGGACCCGGCCACAGAATACACACTAAACGTTGGGGACTTGTGTGACTTGTGGGGACAAAAGTGATGTTCCCACGGACACAAACCAGGTGAGGGTCAGGGAGCAGGGAATGCATTATGTCAATGAGATGTCCCCTCTGGGATACAGGAACAAACAGGTGTGCTTACTCGACGTTGCCTGAAGGGAGAGTCAGGAAGTTTCCATGGATAGCGACCGTCATCTGAACCGTACACCTCTGGAGGACACAGACATTTTGATGTTCAGTTGCAGAAGAAGAAATACTCTCTCCTGACGGCCAGAGTGGGAGGACAGCTTGTCTGTGCGTAACCAGGCTGGTCCTGGATCAGACTGTAAACACTGTCATGTAGGTGCTAGAATGTCTGTCAACTGTCCAAACACTAACTATACTCAAGGATTCATGGGCGGGGAAACCAGTTGGTGGTGTTGTTATTAGTTTGTCCTGCTGCTGAGCTGCAGACAGACTGATGTTCTGAGGACTCTCGTGTGATGAAGTCAGCAGAACCACAAATCATCTGCAACTAGCAGCAGTGTCACATCAGACAGAGTCAATACCCTCTAGTCAGACTGTTCCTCCCAGTCTTCAGAAGGAATAGTGAGCGTGCAGCTTGTTACAGCGTAAAGTAGTGAGCTTACAGCTTGTATAACAGCGTAAAGTAGTGAGCGTGCAGCTTGTATAACAGTGTAAAGTAGTGAGCGTACAGCTTGTATAACAGCGTAAAGTAGTGAGTGTGCCGCTTGTATAACAGCGTAAAGTAGTGAGCGTGCAGCTTGTATAACAGTGTAAAGTATGTAAAGTAGTGAGCGTACAGCTTGTATAACAGTGTAAAGTAGTGAGTGTACAGCTTGTTACAGCGTAAAGTAGTGAGCGTACAGCTTGTATAACAGCGTAAAGTAGTGAGTGTGCCGCTTGTATAACAGCGTAAAGTAGTGAGCGTGCAGCTTGTATAACAGTGTAAAGTATGTAAAGTAGTGAGCGTACAGCTTGTATAACAGTGTAAAGTAGTGAGTGTACAGCTTGTTACAGCGTAAAGTAGTGAGCGTACAGCTTGTATAACAGCGTAAAGTAGTGAGCGTGCAGCTTGTATAACAGTGTAAAGTAGTGAGTGTACAGCTTGTTACAGCGTAAAGTAGTGAGCGTACAGCTTGTATAACAGCGTAAAGTAGTGAGCGTGCCGCTTGTATAACAGCGTAAAGTAGTGAGCGTGCAGCTTGTATAACAGTGTAAAGTATGTAAAGTAGTGAGCGTACAGCTTGTATAACAGTGTAAAGTAGTGAGTGTACAGCTTGTTACAGCGTAAAGTAGTGAGCGTACAGCTTGTATAACAGCGTAAAGTAGTGAGTGTGCCGCTTGTATAACAGCGTAAAGTAGTGAGCGTGCAGCTTGTATAACAGTGTAAAGTATGTAAAGTAGTGAGCGTACAGCTTGTATAACAGTGTAAAGTAGTGAGTGTACAGCTTGTTACAGCGTAAAGTAGTGAGCGTACAGCTTGTATAACAGCGTAAAGTAGTGAGCGTGCAGCTTGTATAACAGTGTAAAGTAGTGAGTGTACAGCTTGTTACAGCGTAAAGTAGTGAGCGTACAGCTTGTATAACAGCGTAAAGTAGTGAGCGTGCAGCTTGTATAACAGTGTAAAGTAGTGAGTGTACAGCTTGTTACAGCGTAAAGTAGTGAGCGTGCAGCTTGTATAACAGCGTAAAGTAGTGAGCGTGCAGCTTGTATAACAGCGTAAAGTAGTGAGCGTTCAGCTTGTTACAGCGTAAAGTAGTGAGCGTACAGCTTGTATAACAGCGTAAAGTAGTGAGCGTGCAGCTTGTATAACAGTGTAAAGTAGTGAGTGTACAGCTTGTTACAGCGTAAAGTGAGAGCAAGAAATGTTGATTAACAAATGAAAATGCTGTGAACAAGGTTTATTTGCACAATAATAAACCTGCAATGCAATATAGTTTCCCCTAAAAACAGATATTTCCACTGTGAACTGGAGCAGAAAATGCTGGAAACTACCAGTTTAATGCTCATAATCTTCTGGGGGAGGATCACCATCACATATTTAATCTAAATTCTGCTAAATATCTTCTTGTCTTGTTCTGGAGCATCGTCACATCTCATGACCTAAATGTATCATCATGCCCTGACCTGAGCCCTTATGTCCCCACCACTTTTCAACATAAAGTGACGCCCTTGACTGACACGCTCCGCTCTGCACCAGCTCCTCTCTAGCAGGCCTACTTATTTGCATTGTATGCATGTTACATTCTCATTACGGGCTGAGCACCCCTAAAGGTCTGACGCTAGAATCGCTGTGTGATGTCTTATTTTGAGGGGACAATTTACACTGTCATACAAGCTGCACGCTCACTACTTTACATACACTGTTAAAAAAGCTGCACGCTCACTACTTTACACACACTGTTATACCAGCTGTACGCTCACTACTTTACACTGTTATACAAGCTGCACGCTCACTGCTTTACACTGTTCTACAAGCTGCACGCTCACTGCTTTACACACACTGTTATACCAGCTGTACGCTCACTACTTTACACTGTTATACAAGCTGCACGCTCACTGCTTTACACTGTTCTACAAGCTGCACGCTCACTGCTTTACACACACTGTTATACAAGCTGTACGCTCACTACTTTACACTGTTGTACAAGCTGCACGCTCACTACTTTACACTGTTATACCAGCTCTACGCTCACTACTTTACACTGTTATACCAGCTGCACGCTCACTACTTTACACTGTTATACCAGCTGCACGCTCACTACTTTACAGTGTTATACAAGCTGCACGCTCACTACTTTACACTGTTATACCAGCTGCACGCTCACTACTTTACACTGTTATACAAGCTGCACGCTCACTACTTTACACTGTTATACCAGCTGCACGCTCACTACTTTACACTGTTATACCAGCTGCACGCTCACTACTTTACAGTGTTATACCAGCTGCACGCTCACTACTTTACACAAGCTGTACACTCACTACTTTATACACACTGTTATACCAGCTGCACGCTCACTACTTTACACTGTTATACCAGCTGCACGCTCACTACTTTACACTGTTATACCAGCTGCACGCTCACTACTTTACACACACTGTTATACAAGCTGTACGCTCACTACTTTACACAAGCTGTACACTCACTACTTTATACACACTGTTATACAAGCTGCACGCTCACTACTTTACATACACTGTTAAAAAAGCTGCACGCTCACTACTTTACACACACTGTTATACCAGCTGTACGCTCACTACTTTACACTGTTCTACAAGCTGCACGCTCACTGCTTTACACTGTTCTACAAGCTGCACGCTCACTGCTTTACACACACTGTTATACAAGCTGTACGCTCACTACTTTACACTGTTGTACAAGCTGCACGCTCACTACTTTACACTGTTATACCAGCTCTACGCTCACTACTTTACACTGTTATACCAGCTGCACGCTCACTACTTTACACTGTTATACCAGCTGCACGCTCACTACTTTACAGTGTTATACAAGCTGCACGCTCACTACTTTACACTGTTATACCAGCTGCACGCTCACTACTTTACACTGTTATACAAGCTGCACGCTCACTACTTTACACTGTTATACCAGCTGCACGCTCACTACTTTACAGTGTTATACCAGCTGCACGCTCACTACTTTACACAAGCTGTACACTCACTACTTTATACACACTGTTATACCAGCTGCACGCTCACTACTTTACACTGTTATACCAGCTGCACGCTCACTACTTTACACTGTTATACCAGCTGCACGCTCACTACTTTACACACACTGTTATACAAGCTGTACGCTCACTACTTTACACTGTTATACAAGCTGTAAGCTCACTGCTTTACACAAGCTGTACGCTCACTACTTTACACAAGCTGTACGCTCACTACTTTACACTGTTATACAAGCTGTACGCTCACTACTTTACACTGTTATACAAGCTGTACGCTCACTACTTTACACAAGCTGTACGCTCACTACTTTACACTGTTATAAAAGCTGCACGCTCACTACTTTACACTGTTATACAAGCTGCACGCTCACTACTTTACACTGTTATACAAGCTGTACGCTCACTACTTTACACAAGCTGTACGCTCACTACTTTACACTGTTATAAAAGCTGCACGCTCACTACTTTACACTGTTATAAAAGCTGCACGCTCACTACTTTACACTGTTATACAAGCTGCACGCTCACTACTTTACACTGTTATACAAGCTGCACGCTCACTACTTTACACACACTGTTATACAAGCTGTACGCTCTCTACTTTACACTGTTATACAAGCTGTACGCTCACTGCTTTACACAAGCTGTACTCTCACTACTTTATACACACTGTTATACCAGCTGCACGCTCACTACTTTATACACACTGTTATACAAGCTGTACACTCACTACTTTACACTGTTATACAAGCTGTACGCTCACTGCTTTACACAAGCTGTACGCTCACTACTTTATACACACTGTTATACAAGCTGTACGCTCACTGCTTTACACAAGCTGTACTCTCACTACTTTATACACACTGTTATACCAGCTGCACGCTCACTACTTTATACACACTGTTATACAAGCTGTACACTCACTACTTTACACTGTTATACAAGCTGTACGCTCACTGCTTTACACAAGGTGCACGCTCACTACTTTACACTGCAGCAAAGTGTCATTTGTTCAGTGTTGCCACATGAAAAGATAGAATCACATTTACAAAAATGTGACAGGTGGACTCACTTTGTGAGATACTGTATGTATGATATGTATCTGCTGTCTGAGACGAAAGTGTACAGACCTTTAGCCACTCCGCATTAATACAATGTAAGGGCTGCATTGGTGGTGAGCTGAGACAGTGACAACAGATGATTCTGGTTGTGTTTGTGTTTTACCGCCGACACCGAGAGGAGCTGCTCCTGTTCCCTCCTAGCCGGCACTGCGAACACTCGGACTCTGGCTCTGGCAGTGACCGTCATTCCGGCATTCCTGCTGATGCTCATGCTCGGCGCCTCTGTGACTTCCAGTTCAGCAGAGAGGGGATTGTTCATTCGGGATGGTTGCTATGGAAACACAGTGTGGGAAAAATGGGAGGAATTGGAATTGAACAGGTGTGTCTGGAGGCAGGTGGGTAGGAACAGAGACTGCAGGCTGTGTGCCCAGCATGTACATGAAAGAGGTGGAATGGAGAAAGAATAGTCTCAGTTTTTTTTAAGATGCACAGAATAGTGTGATGGTTTAGAACCAAAGCATCCTTTTTCACCTAACTTTACAAACTTTATAAGGAAACAAATCAAACAACTGACTTTAAACATTTACATTTACTCATTTGGCAGACGCTTTTATCCACGCTTTTAAGCGACTTGCATTTGAGTAACAACATACAAGCATCAACAGAGCATCAAATACAGCATGAGATCTACAACTGACAACACATACTAGCAAGAGCTAATAGCACATATCACATATGTGCATGGGGTAAATACCTACGGAAAGAAGTAAGAGTTAACACAGAAGTGCAATCAATACATGATAACTGTAAGGTGACAAAAGAAGAAGAGCACAGGAAGTGCATGTTAGAGGTTCGAGGTGTTATTAGAGGAAGTGTTAGAGAGGGACACCCCTGCTCTGATGGCGTGCGGCAGCTCGTTCCACCATCGTGGTGTCACAGGTGAGAACAGGGACAGGGAGGTCGCTTTGTGTGAAGGGATGGAGCCAGGCAGCGTTTGTTGGAGGAGCGTAGCGGCCGAGAAGGAACGTAAGTTTGTATTATGGAGTTTAGGTAGATGGGTGCAGACCCAGTAGTCACTCTGTATGCAGCATTAGTGACTTGAATTTGGCCACGGGGAGCCAGTGGAGGTCACTGATTAATGGAATAACATGAGTCCTTTTGGGCTGATCAAAAACCAGGACTGGCACCTATTTTTATACACTTCAAGCACTGACTAGAAGGACATTGCAGTAGTCGAGGCGAGAGACAACCATGGCCTGTCCCGGAAGCTGGGTGGCATATTGAGTGATGTAGGGCTGATTTTTCTGATGTTGTATAGAGCAAAGTGGCATGACCGAGAGACAGCAGCAACACCGTCTGAAAAGGACAGCTGGTCATCAATCATTACATTTCATTTATTTGTTGAACATCCTACTGTGAAAAACATCATACTGCACATCGGGGCCAATGATGTTGTGAAGCAACAGTCTGAAGTGTTGAAAGAGGACTTTAATAATCTGTTGAACACGGTCAGCTCTCTGAATGCTGAGGTGTTTATCAGTGGCCCTATACCGCCAATCTGAAGAGGAGCTGAAAGATTCAGCAGACTGATGGCATTGAACACGTGGCTCTCCACGGCATGTACTGTCCATTCAGTGCATTTCATCTAAAACTGGACCGCAGACATCTTTTTAAGGCAGATGGACTTCGCCTTAACAAGTCAGGAGTAAAACTGTTCAGCTCCTGTTTCACTTTCTGCGTCACTCATCTGTTCCCTCTGCCAAGGACAAGAGACAAGAGGAATCTAAACAAGAAGAAGACATAACACAACACGCCAGAAACCTTGAAGGAGAGCCACCTCAGCCCCCGCCCGAAGAGAGCTCTGATCACGGGAGACAACTGAGCCAAGAGGAAGAGCCTCCACCCCCCTCACTGAAAATAGTGAGTATTCAACATCTCTACCCCCCAATCCCCATCTAGGTCACCCTTATCTCCAGACACCCTTTCTCCCCTCTCCCCCCTGTTGGACTTCACTGATCACATTGAAGACCTGGTTAGAGCTGGGACCAAATTTACTCCCCGCACCTTCCCTCGCTCCACTCCCATTTTCTCTACCCTAAACCCCCCCTCACCGTCCACCTCCACCACTGGCTCTAAGTCCAGGTTTTTGTTAAACGTTAGGTCGTTGGCCGGAAAAACATTTTTAATCAATGATTTTATAATAACTCACAATCTTAATTGCATGTTTTTAACTGAAACTTGGTTGGACCAAGATAACAGTGCAGCTGTCCTTATCGAGTCTACCCCTCCCAACTTCAGTTTTAAGAGTGAAGCTAGAGTGCATAAGAGAGGAGGTGGAGTTGCCATTTTGTTTAATGCAAATGCTCCGTACTTGTATAGCGCCTTTCTAGTCTTTTCGACCACTCAAGGCGCTTTTACACTACATCTGCATTTACCATTAACACACTGAGCCTAAGTGCTCAAACAGAAACTAACATTCACACACATTCATACACTGGCGGAACAGCCGCCAGGGGAAATTCGGGGTTCAGTATCTTGCCCAAGGACACTTGGACATGTAGCTTCCGATTAACGGCCAACCCGCTCTACCTCCTGAGCCGACTCCCTCCAATGCAAAAAGATGTCTTATGGGAATTTTGCTTCTTTTGAATATGTGGCTCTTCAGCTGAATTCCTCTTCTCGAGCGATTTTCTAAATATCTACAGGCCCCCTAAATACTGTGCAAACTTTTTTGATGACTTTGGTGAACTGCTGTCTATAATCTGTGTTGACTTTGACTGTGTGGTTATTGTTGCTGATTTTAACATCCATGTTGACAACCCCCAGGACAGAGTGACTAAAGAACTGTGTTGTGTTCTTGATAATTATGGACTGACTCAACATGTGACGGAGCCCACGCACAATAAGGGGCACACTTTGGACTTGGTCATCTCCAAGGGTCTGGACATCTCTCTGATCATTCCTGTGTTTTCTTTGAGAGTGCTGTCAAATGTACAAACAGAGGTGATCACAAAACGGCATATCACTGACAACACCAGTGAAACATTTATTGAGACTTTCTCCTCAACACCCGCCCTCCCACAGGTCTCAGTCAATGAGCTTGTAGATAATTTCAGTTCTAAAGCAACATCACCTTTACTGTCTGTACCTCTGTGTGGATATTGTGTAGGCTGCCTCCCTCTCTGTTCCTCTCCTGCCCTCTCTCTCTCTCTCTCTCTCTCCCCCTGTCCCTCTCTCTCCCCCTGTCCCTCCCTGTCCCTCTCTCTCCCTCTCTCTCTCCCTCCCTGTCCCTCCCTGTCCCTCTCTCTCCCTCCCTGTCCCCCTCTCTCCCTCCCCCCCTCTCTCTCTCCCCCTGTCCCTCCCTGTCCCTCTCTCTCCCCCTGTCCCTCTCTCTCCCCCTGTGTAGGCTGCCTCCCTCTCTGTTCCTCTCCTGCCCTCTCTCTCTCTCTCTCTCTCTCCCCCTGTCCCTCTCTCTCCCCCTGTCCCTCCCTGTCCCCCCCCCCCTCTCTCTCTCCCCCTGTCCCTCCCTGTCCCTCTCTCTCCCCCTGTCCCTCTCTCTCTCTCTCTCCCTCCCTGTCCCTCTCTCTCCCTCTCTCTCTCCCTCTCTCTCTCCCTCCCTGTCCCCCTCTCTCCCTCCCCCCCCCCTCTCTCCCCCTGTCCCTCCCTGTCCTCTCTCTCCCCCTGTCCCTCTCTCTCCCCCTGTGTAGGCTGCCTCCCTCCCTGTCCCTCTCTCTCCCCCTGTCCCTCTCTCTCCCCCTGTGTAGGCTGCCTCCCTCTCTGTTCCTCTCCTGCCCTCTCTCTCTCTCTCTCTCTCTCCCCCTGTCCCTCTCTCTCCCCCTGTCCCTCCCTGTCCCTCTCTCTCCCTCTCTCTCTCCCTCCCTGTCCCCCTCTCTCCCTCCCCCCCCCTCTCTCTCTCCCCCTGTCCCTCCCTGTCCCTCTCTCTCCCCCTGTCCCTCTCTCTCTCTCTCTCCCCCTGTCCCTCTCTCTCCCCCTGTGTAGGCTGCCTCCCTCTCTGTTCCTCTCCTGCCCTCTCTCTCTCTCTCTCTCTCTCCCCCTGTCCCTCTCTCTCCCCCTGTCCCTCCCTGTCCCCCCCCCTCTCTCTCTCCCCCTGTCCCTCCCTGTCCCTCTCTCTCCCCCTGTCCCTCTCTCTCTCTCTCTCCCTCCCTGTCCCTCTCTCTCCCTCTCTCTCTCCCTCTCTCTCTCCCTCCCTGTCCCCCTCTCTCCCTCCCCCCCCTCTCTCCCCCTGTCCCTCCCTGTCCCTCTCTCTCCCCCTGTCCCTCCCTGTCCCTCTCTCTCCCTCTCTCTCCCTCCCTGTCCCCCTCTCCCCCCCCCCCTCTCTCTCTCCCCCTGTCCCTCCCTGTCCCTCTCTCTCCCCCTGTCCCTCTCTCTCTCTCTCCCTCCCTGTCCCTCTCTCTCCCTCTCTCTCTCCCTCCCTAGACTCATGAATACTAATAAAAAAGTTTGCTTTAGCCTTTCTTAGTTCTCGAGTAACCCTACTATGTAACATTATAAACTTTTGTCTATCAATTTGCAATTTAAACTTCAGAAAATGTTTTTGTGCGTGATCTCGCTCCTTCATCAGTTTCAGTAAGTCTGTACTCAACCATGTTAGACAGTTCTTTTTATTCTTCTTCTTACCTTGGGATGTCTTAGTGAACTTTTGTGCTATACTCTGAATTGTGTTTATAAATCTCTTGCTGTCTTCCTCTACATTCCTCCCACTTATAAATTCATTCCAGATTGTTTTATTTATATCCATTTGAAAAGTCTCAAGTTCACTTTTCATTTTTATTTGTCCTAAATCTATTATTTGTAAGCTTTCTTGTTAATAAAATTATGTTATGGTTAGTTAATCCAGTAATGAGATTATATGTTTTCTCAACTGTTTCTGGCCTGTTGGTGAAAAGTAAATCAATTTGCGTCTGTGAGGATACAGTTATTCTGGTAGGACATTTAATTACTTGTGTAAAATCCATATTATCTGTAATTCTTTTTAAAGAATTCCTATTTCTCTTAATTCTCTTCTCTTAATTTCAATTTATGTTGAAATCACCTAAGAGTAAGACTTCTCTTTTCGAGTTACATTCTTTGAGTAACCTTTTAAATTCATCATAGAAGGTATTGTTAGAAGAAGGTGGACGATATAGTAAAACCAGAACAAAAGACATTTGAGAAGAGAGAGTGATAGTTAGTCCAATACATTCCAGATTAACATTAGATAGTTGAATCTGGCTTCAGTGAATATTATTCTTCAGGTAAACCATGACTCCACCACCTCTTCCCTTTACTCTATCCTGTCTAAATTAATGATATCCGGGTATATTTAAGGCTGCCAATGATAAGTTTTTATGTAACCATTTTTCTGAAAGACACAATGTCGATAATTTAAGGCCTACGTGCAGAGAAATCATTTATTAATAAACAATCATGCAGGAAAGGAAAGATGGTTGGGGAAAAAATCTGTGCTGTTCAAGATATTTACTCTGATATATACTGTTAAAGAACCTTTCTTCCTGGAAGTAAGAAACCATCTGGGTATGGAAACTTGATAGTTTAGTTTAGAGTTTAATCTAATCACTGTCGTCATAGAATGTTATACTGAGTGTGTATGTACTTATAGAAATATTTCATGTTAAGAGAACAAACAATACTGTTTTTGCCTGAATTTCTATGTCTTATCTTTGATTTCTTGTGGAAACCATGTGCCATCAAAAGTTTAGAAAGTTTGTATGTTTCAGAGGAAGACTGAAGTCCTGGAAACCTACTCAAGGGGGATATCAGATTAATGACTAATAACACAGGAAAACCTAGGATACCAGAAGTGTGATGATGCCGTTAGAAATCCGCCATTCGCGTATACGTGGCTGTAGTTTTAGGGGGGGTTATATTTGAGTTAACAAGGAGTGGCCGGTAGACTTTTTCCATAGAGTGAAGGATAAGTCTCCGACAAAATTGGGTCAGTAATCTCTCTCTAAGAATTAGGAATTAAGAATTTGAATCATTGGCCAATCATTGGTCAAACAGGATAAGAACCGAGGATTGGGCTGCAGCTTTAGCTGACCTTAAGGCTTCTGTTACAGACATAACAGTCAATCAGTAGAGTGGCCACTCTTAAAACCAGACTGATATAGATCTAGGTCAACCCGTGAGAGGAATTCTGAGACTTGTCTGAATACTGCCCGTTCAATAGTTTTGGATAAAAATGGTAGAAGAGACACTGGTTGATAGTTCTCAACTTGAGTTGGGTCAAATGAGGGCTTTTTGAGCAAGGGTGCAACCTGTGCCCTTTGAAAGTGGTCGGGAAGGTTCCTGAAGCCAGAGAAGTATTTATCACATGAGTGATTGCCGGGACCAGGAAATATGGCTTGGAGGAGATTGGTAGGAATCAGGTCCAGTGGGCATGTAGTGGGACGGCTACAGGTCAGGAGTTCTGATACTTCGCTCTCCGTGAGAGGAGTAAACGAGGAGAAGTGCCATTGACCTGGGATGACAGAGGAACAGATGCAGTAGGACTGCTACATGTTAGCCTTGGTGTTGAGCCCTTTGCTCCGTTTCCCGAGGGAGATGGAGGGAGACATGTATAAGGACTGCTACATGGTAGGTTTTCCTGTGCCGGGTTCACACAGTGGGAGCTGACCAGAGCAGGAAAAGCCCGGTTGATTTTGAGAGATTTAGAGAATTGGCTAGTTATAGCCACCACTTTGCCTGTGAAGAAGGCAGCAAAAGTATCAGCAGACAAGTTTGTGGGTGATGGAGGTGGAGGAGCATTTAGTAGCGCTTTAAAAGTGGAAAATACAAGCTTTAAAAGACCGGAGAAAGAGCGGCACCATCAAGATGGCTAGCTTCAGAGGAAGCATTGAGATTCATCCACAGCCTCCATGTCTGAGCCTCAGTCAGACGCAGACTTAGGGGAGGAGTCGCCGACTAGCAGACATATCAGAAAGAGGAGTACTTAGCATCATTTATTTGTTTATGTTGTTAGCTTGTAACTGGCTGGCACAGCATTAGTGGCTGTGAAACATCAGATAATAGCTGTGTTCACATTGTCATTCCATAGTAGATAGTGGAAGAACGCTCTGGGGTTTGGTTTACATCCTGAAACTGCACTCTGCATGTTTGCAGTCAAAAGTTTCACTTATCTGGTGAAATACTCGCTCTCCGTACTGAAGTCCGCTCTACTGTTGGAGGTTTCAGGTTTCTTTGCTGGACAGAGATTGGCTTTCGAATTTGGTACGTACCAGTTCTAGCTTGCCCGGGATACATTTGATTCCCAGACTAAAGGGAAGTGTACAAACATCTCCCCTACAGTAGAGGAATGTGAAACCACTTCTCCAGTGACAAACTTTGCACAGACAGAAGACAAACATAAGAAAAACACATTTTTGAGTATAGGGATCTTTAAGTAGCCCAGTAAAAAGAGGGGGGCAATAAGAGAAATGACTTAATTAAAGTTGTATCAGCGTGTCAGCATCATTGTGAGCTCAGTTTGATGATGTTCCTAAAATGATAATCATCATCATGATAACACTGGCTGCAGCTTCACCTTGTTCTCATTAGGTTTAAAATACTTAAGCATTCAAAGAACTGGGGCCATCTGAGAAATAGATATAATTGTGTATCATCTGCGTAAAGTGAAATCTGGCATTACGTTTCCCAGAGGGAACATGATGCTTCCTTGAGGAACACCATAATCAAACACAGAGCTACGACTTAAAATCACCTAAACTAACCAATAACTTTGTAAACCACTTATTGGAAATGAAAAGGGATCAGACTAACATTACATGTCCTTCTTTGATGACTTAATTTCCAATAGACAGTTTTTGTTCTTACCCTAAACAACTGCAGAGCTCTCAGAGTCCTTGCAGCTCCACCAGTCACCTGGTGAGAAGAACAGAGGAGGTTCATATTATCAGGATCAGCTGAAAAACACACTAATTAGTTAATTTGAAATGATATGTCATCTTGTGGTTTGGCGGGTGTTTTTTGGCCGTTTCCACCGTTTGAGCCTGCGCCATGACTCCTGTGCTGTAAACCGACATGATGGCACTGTTGATGAGGAACTCAGAGACGCCCACGTAAGCCATCCGGTCACTTTCTCTGAAAACTGGATCTGCACCTCTTCTTATTGAACCAGCATCAACAGTCTCGCCCTGCCTGAACACTAAGCCCTGAAACACACAGGTTAGTTTATTAAATGGTACAGCCCATACACCGGGTTTCTTCTCGTGGTGTGCAGGCAGCATGTTCAAGTTTCTCACTTTGAAAGGCACATCGAGGAATGTGGAGGCCACTGTGACGTCTCCGCTCAGAGAGTAGTCGATGTTGATGCCGAGGCCTTCGTACAGTGTCATCGCCATGGAGATGCTCTCCAACATGGAGTTAACTCGAGGAACAGCGTGACTCTGAACAGCAGGACAGAGCTGAAAACAGACAGATTGTGTTGGTGTCTCCTCCTGGTCCATGGAGGGGCAGCAGTGTTAACAAGCTCTACATAGATTACATAGAGTTTTTGGTGATTAATAATAATAATATACATATGATTAGCACAGTCTCAGCCAATCAAGTCACTGATCTCATCCCTCTGAAACAACCTGTTTGTTCCTTTAAAGTTTCCTCAGCTGATTCATCTCGTCTCACTACTGGAACTCTGTCGGACAGTTTTTAACAAAAAGGATCAAATCTCAACACCAACAACACCAAAGATATGTGGCAGGCCATCAAAAACATCACAGGCTACAACAGCAGGAACTCCTCCATCATGTGTGAGGCCACATTACCAGATGAACCTCAACAAGGAATCAGCTGTAAAGTCTACTTCACCTCCAGAGGACCAGCCACTGTGTATCCACAGCAGAGGAGGAGAGGAGAGTCCTGCTGAGAGTGAATGAGTAAAGCTGCTGGGTTAAAAATGTTCCATTCTGATGAAGTATTTTGAGAAACTGGTTCTTCAGCACATTAAGAACAAAATCCCAGCCAACCTGGACCCTCACCAGTTTGCTTTCAGAACCAACAGATCCACAGAGGATGCCATCTCCACTGCCCTCCCCTCAGCCCTCACACACCTTGAGATAAACAACACCTACATCTGTTTGTGGATTTCAGCTTAGCGTTAAACACAATCTCCCCATGAAGCTGATCAGAAAACTCAGCACACTGGGTTTAAACACAACACTGCAACTGGATACTGGACTTCCTCACAAACAGATTGGCGGACACACCTCCTCCACTCACCACCGGAGCCCCCCAGCGCTGCGTGCTCCCATGACTGCATCCAGATGACACCACCATCATCGGCCGGATTTCAAACAACGATGAGACTTTATATCGGGAGTAAATTCATAATCTTTCAGAGTTGTACTCAGAGAAAAACCTACTGCTCAACGTCAGCAAAACTAAGGAGATAAAGACACACTCCTGTGTACATCAGTGGAGCTGAGGTGGAGCAGGTGAACAGTTTCAGGTTCCTGTGAATCAGCATCACAGAGAACCTGACATGGTCATCTCACAAGCTCAGAAACAACTGGATTTCTTGAGGAAGCTTAAGAATTCCCACAGCAAGTTCTTGTCAGCTTTTCCAGAGGCGCAACAGAAAGCATCCTGACTGGAAACATCACTAACATGGAATGTGCACGGCCCAGGACCAGAGGGCTCTGCAGCGGGTAATTCAAACTGCTCAGAAGATCCTTGGTACCCATCTCCCGAGCATCAGTGATATCAGTGAGGACAGTACCGACCCAGCCACAGCCTGTTCACCTTGCTACATGCTGGGAAGAGATACAGAAGTTTCTGCTGCCTGAGAGACTCTAACTTCATCCTCAGCTCTGCAGAACTCTAATCTGCGTACAAGTACTTCAAATAAATGTTTCAGTCTGAACCATCACACCTGTGCATCTGAACATACAGATTTAGGATTTAATTTTTCCAGAGGAAAGCATGCAGACTCACGCAGACCTGGTTTAGCTGTTAAAGACTGGAGGTGGAACAAACCTGGGTGTTGAAAAAGTGCTGGAGAACTGGTCTGAGTATGTCCACCAGACGCCTAAAAAGCAACAAGAGAACCATTTCAGTCACTGATCAATAACAGCTGATGTAGCAGACCTGGTTTCACAGAGACCAGCTGGTGGTTTTAATGAGGATCTGGGTCTGTGTCAGTCTGTCCTCCACTGAGGTTCAGACCTTAAGGTTTTCCTCATGATGAACATAGGAACTTCTAATACCTAGCGCCACCATCAGGTCGACATGCTTTAAGACCAGATCCCTGCAGAGCTGAGGTCAGGATGTTCCATTAAAGTCACTCTTTAGTCGGATGATATTTAATGCATTAATATTAGTGCTGGGCAACGATTAAAATTTTTAATCAATTAATCGCATAGCTATGCGCAAAATGAAATAATGAATTCTAAAGTAGTATATTGTGCACTTTTAATTTAAATGTACTGCTATATACACAAAAGTGCAATAACATGTAGTTTACAAACACTTTAAACAAATAAGGAGCTTTTTCGCAGCAGTGTTCCCTTTACACAGCAGCAATAAAATATTTCTTGTAAATCTCAACTTAAACATTAATGTAATCAAATCAAATATTAAACCAGAGCTATTTGCCACTGCCACTATTAGTATTAGTATACTATTAACGTGCGATAAAATAATTGTCGTGTGGTGTATAATATATGTGCATTTGACACACAACAGTTTAACATAGCACTGTAGCAGCTGGATAGAGGATTAGTGACCTTTTAAGGGGAGAGCAGTGATTAGTGGTTATGTGGAGACTCAGACCCTATATGGTATCTAACAGATGCCTACACATATCCTATAGAACTGTGCCCTTATATGGATTGGTGCCTTAGTTTACAGACTCAAACCCTTCTATGGTGTCTAACAGACACCTAAACATGTCCTATATAAGCTGTGTTTGATGTACAGAGAGACAGAGTGGCCATCGGGCTGGGTCACTCTCCAAGCTGCTGCAGAGCTTGAAATTGATGCTGAACTCCTTGATGTAATAAACTTTTATGATCAAGAACAGTGTCAAGCGGATTTCTTCTCAACACATCATCGCAGCATTATTGTTCGGACACCACAGTCGTTAATTAACTAATTAATGCGTTAACACGATAACGTGCCCAGCTCTTATTAATATTAATCAGTCACTAATAAAACCGGTGTTGTGTCAAAGACTGTATTCCCTGTTGATGTGTTTCCATTAATATAACAAATCCCTAATTCCAAAATCCAGGAAATACCATGCCAGCCTGCAGGTCTGGATCAGTGGAGCAGTGGGCACCCACAGTAGACTTGGACCCTGGACCCTGGACCGTGAAGCAGGATTTGAGCTTATCCAGGTAACTTTAGAGTTAACCCTGCTGGGTTAGAACGCCATGGTCCCTGATGCTGAACGGCTAACCTGCTCAGGTTCTGTTCCAAATAAGAGATCAAGTCTATAGAAACGCTTCCTACTGACCAATCAGCTCTCTGGGAAATAACGTCACCATCCTGAGACTGTCTAACATCGCAGTAGCTCTTAGTTTGTAAAATATGACGCTCTGCTGCCAGTGGACTTGTTCGTGTCTATGATTGGTCATCTACTGCTAACTCCGCCTCTTTTACGCGAACACGCTCACGGCTGGACTGGGAAACCCTGGCTTAACTTACCGAGTTGATAATCAGCTTCATGGGACCGGTTACCCTGATCCAAATTGTTAGGGTTAGTGAAGCCAGATAACGAAAATATACCTTGGGTATGTTGAACTCACTTCATGGTACAGGAACCTGGTCTAAATCTAGACCTGGGCTGGTCTTTATCAAGCTTCTTAAAGAGACATTTTAGTCGATAGTGCTGAGAATTTGTGAAATTTACTCCTCCTTTCAAACTCGGTTCAATCCCTGGCTCCCCCTGGTTGCATGTTGAAGTGTCCTTGATACTGAACCCCGATTTGCCCCTGGTGGCTGTTCCGCCAGTGTGTGAATGTGTGTGAATGTTAGTTTCTGTTTGAGCACTTAGGTGTATGAATGTGTATGAATGCAGATGTAGTGTAAAAGCACTTTGAGTGGTCGAAAAGACTAGAAAGGCGCTATACAAGTACAGAGCATTTACTTGAGAATAAAAGCAAGTAATCAAATGTCTTAAAGCTGAGAATCACTCTTCCTCTCCCCGTTATTTAAGACAGCTCTCCCAGGTGGTCAGGAGCTGCAAGTAGGGACCTGTGATGTCAGACATGCAGAAATATTTCAGGAGAGGAAGAATGTTTCTGAAATATTTGATGATGTGCAGTTAAATAGACTGGACAGCGCAGGCTTTGTCAGCGAGTTGGTGAGGGACGTCATCTCACCACTGACTTTACGCAGCAATACGTTTTCAGTTAAACTGAAGGTGGTGATGACGTTTACTTGCCACAGGACAAACGCAGCAACAGCTCCAATCAATGTCATGTGTTTCCAGTTCCCAGCAACACCCCCATAATCCAACAGACGCAAACACAATTCATGTGTTATAGTATGGTCAGCTTCCCAGGAGTAATAGGTGTAATTAATGACTCTCATATAAAGATCAACTTTCTTTCATTTCCAATGTGTATATCATAATGTATTCTCTTGAAACTTCTTTACTTCTTTATTATTATCGAATGTGTGTTGAATGTTATCTCCTCTTAGGAATCCTCACTAGGTTCTGTGACTCCTGTATGGCAGCTTTGCATGATTCAAAGTTCAAAAATATATTTTTTTCTTAGACTAGCTCTTGATGTAGGCCTTTAAACAAGCTGTTGATGTAAGCTGTTGTAAGCTGTAAGCTTGTTGTTGCTGAGCGTTACAGGCAGACTGAGCGGAGCAAATGACCATATATGGAACAGCGGCTCTGTCTTGCTGCGTGTGTCGTATTACAGAGCAACACTGTAGAACACTGTAGATGAGTCATAAAATGAGGAAAAGCATAATAGGTCTCCTTTAAATAAGGAAATCTAATCAGTGATTGGTCCTTGTCCATGTCATCATCCAAAATCCTGTTTGCAGCCCAGCAAAGTGTTGTGAATCAGCTCCAAGACTGACACTTAAGCTTTAGTCCTACACTTTATTCATTCATCTGATGCTTTTATCCATCACCATCCCTTCACTTAAATTAGCACTATGATGCTTGATAACTAACTTTTAAGCTTTGAGCTTTTTTCTTTAAACAGTAATTATGAGAAGCTTGATAAATACAGGCCCTGGTCTTAGTCTTGTCTTACCCGATCCAGCCGGTGGACTGTGTGAGGATGACATCAGCTCTGAAGACACAGTTTGGTATCTCGATGCTCAGACGTCCTTGCCGGTTTCGGCTCAGTTTCACTCCTATGGTGGCGCTCACGCCTGCTCCTCCGAACGCCGTACTTCCTTCATCAACACTGCAACAGAAAACAGGTGAGATCCTCCAGTGATGAGCTGATTCTCTGTTAGCTGAACATCCTGAGGGTTTGTTCAAAGGAACATTTTACAGCTTGACCATGACCAAGAGACTTTGTTATTTACTTTAAATTTGTTAAATTTGAAATGGAGTTTGGTGTGTTTGGAGTGTTTCCTCTCAGGCTGCACCACTGATGGATTTTAAAAAGTGTGTTGATGATCAGATCCATTATTAATCAGAATCAGCAAGGACACTTATCTTGCACGGCTTCTCTTACCACTGCTACGCAGACGACACGCAGCTCTACCTATCCTTCCTGCCAGACAACCCCACCGTCTCGGCGCGGATCACGGACTGTCTCTCAGACATATCTGCATGGATGAAGGCTCGCCACCTTCAACTAAACCTCTCTAAGACTGAACTCTTGGTCATTCCAGCCAAGCAATCTATCCACCATAACATCAAACTACAAACTGACTCCACAACCATCACTCCAACCAAGGTGGTGAGAAACTTGGGTGTCATGATTGATGACCAGCTGTCCTTTTCAGACCATGTTGCTACTGTCTCTCGGTTGTGCCTCTTTTCTCTATACAACATAAGGAAAATCAGGCCCTACCTCACTCAGTACGCCACCCAGCTGCTGGTACAGGCCATGGTTATCTCTCGCATTGACTATTGCAATGCCCTTCTAGCAGGTCTCCCAGCTTGTGCGGTGAAACCCTTACAAATGGTTCAGAACGCAGCAGCGCGTCTGGTTTTTGATCAGCCCAAAAGGACTCATGTCACTCCATCACTCAGTGACCTCCACTGGCTCCCCGTGGCCTCCAGAATCAAATTCAAATCACTAATGCTGCATACAGAGTGACTACTGGGTCTGCACCATCTACCTAAACTCCATAATACAAACTTACGTTCCTTCTCGGCCGCTACGCTCCTCCAGCGAACGCCGCCTGGCTCTGCCATCCCTTCACACAAAGCGACCACAGTCCCTGTTCTCATCTGTGACACCACGATGGTGGAACGAGCTGCCACACGCCATCAGAGTAGGGGCGTCCCTCTCTAACTTCAAGAAGCTCCTGAAAACTCTGCAGAGAACACTTCCTCTTAGAACACCTCTAACCTCTGACATGCACTTCCTGTGCTCTTCTTAATCTGTCTCCTCACAATTATCATGTACTGCTCGCACTTTTTGTTAACTCTTACTTCCTTCCCTAGGTATTTACCCCATTGATGTGATATTAGCTCTTACTAGTATGTATTGTCAGCTGTAGATCTGTATTTGATGCTTTGTTGATGCTTGTATGTTCCTCAAATGTAATTCGCTTTGGATAAAAGCGTCTGCTGGATATTCATTGATTTATGTGAGTGACCATGTGCTGGTAGATTATTATTGATCTGAGAAGAATCTCCTCTAAATCACTTTATTAATGAACAAGAACCTCAAACTGTACTGCAGGGTGTAAAATAATGACTTCAGAACAAATGTCACAGCTGCAGCACTAAAGCTGCTTTGAGCTGAGATGTGAACTGGCTAAAAGTCAATTTGAGGTTTCATACGTACTTAAATTCTCTCCACAAACACAGCCTGACTTCCCGCTCAAGGTCTCCAGCGAAGTTCAGGTTCTTGATCTCAAACTGGAGACCTGAACCTTGTTGGAAACTGAGATCAACCTGATCTGGATTTAGACGTGTCAGCGTCAACCTGAGGAGGAGGGAAAAAGAAGATTAATCATTAAAACATAATAAAATGATGAATCCAGATGTCCTTTAACAAAAAACGCTCCAACAGATTCTGAGCTGCTTTCAGCTGAGTTTGGGATGTGATTCTTTAAACACTTTGTTGTCCTTCCTTTAATTCATCATGTCCTCCTGGTGTGTACCTGTTCATTCACTCATTCTCATTTCGTGGTCACCTTTATTTCAGTTTAAGAAAACATTGCTGATGTTTGGTGTCACACAGCAACTCCTGTGTTCTCTTTTCTTTAGTCAACACCCAGGCTGCCTAATTTCTTCTTATTTAAAAAATAACCATGATTTTGTTTCAGAGATTTTATTTATTTTAAGTGACTTTTTTTCCCCAATTATGTTATTTTACCTTCTAATGGTGCACTTCAAGCGAGCATCCAGGGGTGTGAAGTCAAAAGGTCTGTTAACCAGCGTCTGTAGAAACTCCAGGCCAATGTCTCTCACTGCGGACACACAAATACTGCAGGTCGACTACTGCAAACACGCTGCAAATACTGCAGGTCCTCTACTGCAAACACGCTGCAAATACTGCAGGTCGTCTACTGCAAACACGGAGCTAATACTGCAGGTCCTCTACTGCAAACACGGAGCTAATACTGCAGGTCCTCTACTGAAAACACGGAGCTAATACTGCAGGTCCTCTACTGCAAACACGGAGCTAATACTGCAGGTCCTCTACTGCAAACACGCAGCAAATACTGCAGGTCCTCTACTGCAAACACGCAGCAAATACTGCAGGTCCTCTACTGCAAACACGCTGCAAATACTGCAGGTTGTCTACTGCAAACACGCTGCAAATACTGCAGGTCCTCTACTGCAAACACGGAGCAAATACTGCAGGTCCTCTACTGCAAACACGGAGCAAATACTGCAGGTCCTCTACTGCAAACACGGAGCAAATACTGCAGGTCCTCTACTGCAAACACGGAGCAAATACTGCAGGTCCTTTACTGAAAACACGCTGCAAATACTGCAGGTCGTCTACTGCAAACACGGAGCTAATACTGCAGGTCCTCTACTGCAAACACGGAGCTAATACTGCAGGTCCTCTACTGCAAACACGGAGCTAATACTGCAGGTCCTCTACTGAAAACACGGAGCTAATACTGCAGGTCCTCTACTGCAAACACGGAGCTAATACTGCAGGTCCTCTACTGCAAACACGCAGCAAATACTGCAGGTCCTCTACTGCAAACACGCTGCAAATACTGCAGGTTGTCTACTGCAAACACGCTGCAAATACTGCAGGTCCTCTACTGCAAGCACAGAGCAAATACTGCAGGTCCTCTACTGCAAACACGGAGCAAATACTGCAGGTCCTCTACTGCAAACACGCTGCAAATACTGCAGGTCGTCTACTGCAAACACGCTGCAAATACTGCAGGTCCTCTACTGCAAACACGGAGCAAATACTGCAGGTCCTCTACTGCAAACACGGAGCAAATACTGCAGGTCCTCTACTGCAAACACGGAGCAAATACTGCAGGTCCTCTACTGCAAACACGGAGCAAATACTGCAGGTCCTTTACTGAAAACACGCTGCAAATACTGCAGGTCGTCTACTGCAAACACGGAGCTAATACTGCAGGTCCTCTACTGCAAACACGGAGCTAATACTGCAGGTCCTCTACTGCAAACACGGAGCTAATACTGCAGGTCCTCTACTGAAAACACGGAGCTAATACTGCAGGTCCTCTACTGCAAACACGGAGCTAATACTGCAGGTCCTCTACTGAAAACACGCAGCAAATACTGCAGGTCCTCTACTGCAAACACGCAGCAAATACTGCAGGTCCTCTACTGCAAACACGGAGCTAATACTGCAGGTCCTCTACTGAAAACAGTGCATGTGTTGCACGTGCAGATCTTACAAATATTCAGCGCTCTGTTGGTGATTCTCAGTTTGAGGCCGGTGGGATCGACGGCATTGATGGAGGAACACAGGAAGGCCAAGAAGAAGAGGGACACCACACAGGAAGTCATCCTGAAGTAAAAACTTGCAACACAAGAAGAAGAGAAGAATCTTTACAAGTTCAATGTTCAATAAGGAACCCTGGAGTTCTAATATATTTTTACCAAAGAAAAAAATCTGCATGAGATTTGCAGCGTTATGTTATAATAATAATATTATTATGTTTAACAGTCAGAAGAAGAGTTACCTGTGTCTGTGAGTCTGATGTCTGCAGCAGCTTCTACAAACCACCACTTCTTATACTCACGTTTCTTCATGCAAACCATGAAGCTGGTGACTCAGCAGTGACTAAATATGGACACCGTGTCTGTGGGTTGGCTGCTGAATACTTTCAAATTACAACAGGTTTATCTCTGCTGATCCAGACAGTCAGATAGTTACAGAGTTAGGAAACAGTCAGAGTTCCTCTTTCAGTGTCTCAGGCTTCATGTTCCCCCAACAGAACGTTATTTCAACTTCTAGAGAAGTTTGATTGTATGTTGTGTAAAAAAGTAGATTCTATAGAAAAAATTAACATCATGATGAGTTTCCAGAAGTAAAGGATTAGTTGGGGTGCCAGGAGTTCGGGTTGACATTCTACCCAGACGTTTCTTTTATGCAGCTGTGGAAACTTTTTTACCCATAGTATGTGATGAAAATGAAGGAGACACTACAGAATAATAAAGCTGCGTCTGGTGTAGGAGCTCAAGTCAAACTGCACTTCATTTGTTGATCATGTCATGGAATCATCTGAGAGAAGAGAAACCCGTCTGACCACAGACGAACAGCTCTCATTTGTGTAGTATCATCATAGATTAACAAGGTCATCTTTAAAATTCTCTCTTTGATATCAGCTCGTAGTAACGTCAGTCTGACAGTTGATAAAACAGTGAGTGTTCATTGTAGGAGTGTGGCGGGACAGAAGGTCCAGCCTCTAATTGTCCACACCTCTACACAAATCATCAGGTGCAGAATCATCCATATGAATGAGTCCAAACTGTCACACTTACAGAATCCAACAGAACGCTTCAGTACCTAAAGCAGCTGCTGAGCAAAGCTGGATCTCGTTAAAACATGTCAGCAGGATAGAATATTTAGAGTTCGATCCACTGGAACGGATCTTTCACATGTAGTAAATGATTTTCACAAAAGTCCTTCCATATATGGTGAGTCCATCTCATCTTAATGTCCGATATGTTGAAATAAAGTGTGAGCAGTGGGAGGTGATGACAGTGCTGATCTCCATCACTGCATCTGTCCTCTCAGGATGTTACCCAACAGCCAAGCTAATTATTACACATTCCTACCAGTGTTTATCTCCCTCTGATCATCTGTCAGGCAGTTACTCAGCATCAGAACTGCAGACGGTGTGAGGAAGTTACATGTTAAACATTACTGAAAGATTATTTATTTGAATATAAAGATTCTTCAGAAGAAAAAGCAGGTGGATGTCTAACCTTCCAATACCTGCTGCAGCTGGACTCCAGGACCAGGGTAGAGAAACAGGATAAGGTCCACGTGGTTCAGGTATTTACATATTTAGCTGACGCTTTTATCCAAAGCGACTTACAATTGCTATACATGTCAGAGGTCGCACGCCTCTTGAATAACTGGGGGTTAAGCGTCTTGCTCAGGGACACAATGGTGGATGGAATTGAACCCGGGTCTCTAACACCAAGGACAGGCGTCTTATCCATTGAGCCATCACCACCCCTAGCTGTAGGATGTGTTTCAGAGTGTTTGGGATGACTGTGTGGTAGAGATTAAAACTAAGAGAACAAATTTCTTAGATGAAGCAGGAAGAGGTCTGTACTCACCCCCTGCTGACCAAAGACCTCCAGTCTGCCCGAGTACCTGAAGGTGGGACATCTTCCCATCCGGTCTACTGCTCAACTGAAGGCTAAGTGTCATCATCTTTAGGGTCATCACAAAACCCTTGGTACCCCTTCATACTTCAAGTAAACCCCAGAACCCTGACAACCACCCTGTACCCAAAGTCCCCCCTCATCAATCTTGAGAAGTTCCCCATACCCTGATTACCTTGTGATACCCTGATTACAGACCGCCTCATACCTTAAATAAACCCCAGAGCAGTAAGTATCCCCTCATTCCCTCAGAACACCCCGCTCCTGGACAAACCTTTATTACAAAAGTACCACCCCCATACCTGGAGTACTTCCACATGTCTTCAGAATGTCTCCTCCACAGTGAAGTGCTGCTGAAAAACATCTAATGAAAACAGAGAACAGAGCAGCTACATTAGCTCTAAAAGCTCCTTCCCAAACTGGAAAATGGTCTAGTTCAGGACTGAAGGACGCGAGAGACAACTGAACTATCTTCTTATTTTCTTTTCTTTATATCCAGTTCAGTAATAGTAGTAATTGTAGAGATAGTTTGACCTGGTCCAGTTTGACCGGGTCACCACTCCTGAAATCTCTAAACTCATCAGCTCTTCCAAACCCACTACCTGCTCACTTGACTCCCTCCCTACTCCACTCTTGAAGTCATGCCTCCCCGTCCTTTCCCCCTACCTCACTAACCTCTTCAACTCCTCACTGTCCCTTGGAACTGTCCCCTCTGCTTGCAAACCTGCCGCTGTCACCCCAGTCCTTAAAAAACCTGGTCTGTCTCCCTCTTCCCTCAATAACTACCGCCCAATATCCAACCTCCCCTTTCTGTCTAAAACCCTTGAACGTACACTCACCAAAGGGATTATTAGGAACACCAGACTAATACTGTGTTTGACCCCCTTTCGCCTTCAGAACTGCCTTAATTCTACGTGGCATTGATTCAACAAGGTGCTGAAAGCATTCTTTAGAAATGTTGGCCCATATTGATGGATAGCATCTTGCAGTTGATGGAGATTTGTGGGATGCACATCCAGGGCACGAAGCTCCCGTTCCACCACATCCCAAAGATGCTCTATTGGGTTGAGATCTGGTGACTGTGGGGGCCATTTTAGTACAGTGAACTCATTGTCATGTCTGAAATGATTGGAGCTTTGTGACATGGTGCATTATCCTGCTGGAAGTAGCCATCAGAGGATGGGTACATGGTGGCCATAAAGGTATGGACATGGTCAGAAACAATGCTCAGGTAAGCCGTGGCATTTAAACGATGCCCAATTGGCACTAAGGGGCCCAAAGTGTGCCAAGAAAACATCCCCCGCACCATTACACCACCACCACCAGCTCTCATTTGTGTAGTATCATCATAGATTAACAAGGTCATCTTTAAAATTCTCTCTTTGATATCAGCTCGTAGTAACGTCAGTCTGACAGTTGATAAAACAGTGAGTGTTCATTGTAGGAGTGTGGCGGGACAGAAGGTCCAGCCTCTAATTGTCCACACCTCTACACAAATCATCAGGTGCAGAATCATCCATATGAATGAGTCCAAACTGTCACACTTACAGAATCCAACAGAACGCTTCAGTACCTAAAGCAGCTGCTGAGCAAAGCTGGATCTCGTTAAAACATGTCAGCAGGATAGAATATTTGGAGTTCGATCCACTGGAACGGATCTTTCACATGTAGTAAATGATTTTCACAAAAGTCCTTCCATATATGGTGAGTCCATCTCATCTTAATGTCCGATATGTTGAAATAAAGTGTGAGCAGTGGGAGGTGATGACAGTGCTGATCTCCATCACTGCATCTGTCCTCTCAGGATGTTACCCAACAGCCAAGCTAATTATTACACATTCCTACCAGTGTTTATCTCCCTCTGATCATCTGTCAGGCAGTTACTCAGCATCAGAACTGCAGACGGTGTGAGGAAGTTACATGTTAAACATTACTGAAAGATTATTTATTTGAATATAAAGATTCTTCAGAAGAAAAAGCAGGTGGATGTCTAACCTTCCAATACCTGCTGCAGCTGGACTCCAGGACCAGGGTAGAGAAACAGGATAAGGTCCACGTGGTTCAGGTATTTACATATTTAGCTGACGCTTTTATCCAAAGCGACTTACAATTGCTATACATGTCAGAGGTCGCACGCCTCTTGAATAACTGGGGGTTAAGCGTCTTGCTCAGGGACACAATGGTGGATGGAATTGAACCCGGGTCTCTAACACCAAGGACAGGCGTCTTATCCATTGAGCCATCACCACCCCTAGCTGTAGGATGTGTTTCAGAGTGTTTGGGATGACTGTGTGGTAGAGATTAAAACTAAGAGAACAAATTTCTTAGATGAAGCAGGAAGAGGTCTGTACTCACCCCCTGCTGACCAAAGACCTCCAGTCTGCCCGAGTACCTGAAGGTGGGACATCTTCCCATCCGGTCTACTGCTCAACTGAAGGCTAAGTGTCATCATCTTTAGGGTCATCACAAAACCCTTGGTACCCCTTCATACTTCAAGTAAACCCCAGAACCCTGACAACCACCCTGTACCCAAAGTCCCCCCTCATCAATCTTGAGAAGTTCCCCATACCCTGATTACCTTGTGATACCCTGATTACAGACCGCCTCATACCTTAAATAAACCCCAGAGCAGTAAGTATCCCCTCATTCCCTCAGAACACCCCGCTCCTGGACAAACCTTTATTACAAAAGTACCACCCCCATACCTGGAGTACTTCCACATGTCTTCAGAATGTCTCCTCCACAGTGAAGTGCTGCTGAAAAACATCTAATGAAAACAGAGAACAGAGCAGCTACATTAGCTCTAAAAGCTCCTTCCCAAACTGGAAAATGGTCTAGTTCAGGACTGAAGGACGTGAGAGACAACTGAACTATCTTCTTATTTTCTTTTCTTTATATCCAGTTCAGTAATAGTAGTAATTGTAGAGATAGTTTGACCTGGTCCAGTTTGACCGGGTCACCACTCCAGAAATCTCTAAACTCATCAGCTCTTCCAAACCCACTACCTGCTCACTTGACTCCCTCCCTACTCCACTCTTGAAGTCATGCCTCCCCGTCCTTTCCCCCTACCTCACTAACCTCTTCAACTCCTCACTGTCCCTTGGAACTGTCCCCTCTGCTTGCAAACCTGCCGCTGTCACCCCAGTCCTTAAAAAACCTGGTCTGTCTCCCTCTTCCCTCAATAACTACCGCCCAATATCCAACCTCCCCTTTCTGTCTAAAACCCTTGAACGTACACTCACCAAAGGGATTATTAGGAACACCAGACTAATACTGTGTTTGACCCCCTTTCGCCTTCAGAACTGCCTTAATTCTACGTGGCATTGATTCAACAAGGTGCTGAAAGCATTCTTTAGAAATGTTGGCCCATATTGATGGATAGCATCTTGCAGTTGATGGAGATTTGTGGGATGCACATCCAGGGCACGAAGCTCCCGTTCCACCACATCCCAAAGATGCTCTATTGGGTTGAGATC